CCGCAGCCCTGCACGCTGCTCCTCTCCTGCCGCCCAGGGCTGTCCCCGTCCCTGCAGCCCCAGCCCTCGCTGCCCGCTCTGCTCCCTGCGTGCTTTTGGGGAGGCCGGGTCTGGTGCAGGTGGCAGGGGGAGATGGGGGTCACAGAGAGCACCCTAACGCTGCTCTGCCCTCCCTGCAGCACTGGCACGAGGTGAGGCCATCAAGTTCTCTATGAATTACAAGTATTTTGGCTTCAGTCTCCGAATCGGTGAGTGGGGAGGGCAGGGAATTGGGCTGTGCTGGGAGGGAACACAGACTTGTACCCTGGGCTTCCTGTAGAGCCAAAGCAGCCCTTGAACCCTTTAGTGGTCTGAACCCAACTGAAATCTAGTAAAGGGATAAATCCCCAACTTGGTGGGAAAAGCCAGGACTTGCTGGGGCAGGGATCAGGGCTGAGGGCATTGGGGCTGTGCAGGGAGGTGAGTGCTCTGTGGCAAGACCTGCTGTGTCCACTGGCAGCACTGGCCTGAGACAGAAAGGGAGAGCAGAAAGGGGCTGGGTGTGCTCATGGAGCAGAGCTGACTGCAGGCCAACGCTCTGGCACAGACTGGGGAGACCCTTAGTTGGGTGCAGCCCAAACCACTGAATCTGGACTGCATCCTGGAGCATCCCATCGCCCACAAAGGGCAGCCACCCCCAAAACACCATCCTGAGCATCCTCCAGCCACTGAGGGGCTCTGGTTCTGAGGCACACATGGATTGGCAGTGGGTCCAAACACGAGGAGCAGTTTGGTGGCTGTGGGCACAGGGGCCATCTGGGCAGTGCCTTCACCTGGGTTGCACTGGGCACAGGCTGAGGATGGGATTAGGGGTGGGCAGGAGGTGCTCCCCAAGGCCCCTGCACAACCTCTGGCCTCTGGCTCCCATCCAGGCATTGGATGGCTTTGTTGTAAACCACGTTTGAGTCACCTTGTGCCAGTGACAGGTGACAGACTGGGCTGACAAGTGCTCTGTGTCCCATACTTTGCCCCAAGTGTGACCTTGGGGCTCTCCCCACACTCAGCTGAGTTTTACTTCCTGCATTTTCTCTATCATTTACCTCAAATACACACATTCTGCAGCAGTGTTGGTAAACAAGGCAGCACAGCATTTCCCCAGCACCCTGAGCTTTGTCCTGCCAGGGCAGTGCTCATGTCCAGGGCCTGGGGTGGCCACGGGAGCAGGGTCCAGGCCCAGGGGTGCCCCGTGTGGCCCTGCTGCCTGCACTGCCCTGGCTGTGGGGACACCTGATGGCAGCAGGGAGCTGAGATCTGGGGGATCTGCTCCTCCATGGGGTGCTCCCCCTTGCTAGGGGGGATAATGGGGGTCCTATGCTTAGGCAGGGCCAGCTGGGGAGCCCTGGGCTGATTTCTCCTCCTCTTCCTCAGGACTCCTCACAGCTCTTGGCCATTGTGCTGCTTTGGGCTGGGCCAGGGGTAATTTTAATTTTCCTCCCAGGGGCTGTGTTTTGGTTTGTGCCAAACACGAGGTTGATGCCACAGAGGTGTTTTGTTAGTGCTGAGCTTGCCCAGAGCCAAGGCATTTCCAGGCACTCACAGAGCCACGCTGGGGAGAGACTCGGGCGTATGTGGGAGGTTGGGAGGAGACATGGGAGGGACAAGTGACCCCAACTGACCAATCACAGACCGTGGGACATAACATGAATGGACAAAAGAGGGGACATTTGGAGTGATGGCATTTCTCTTCCCGCGTCTGTCCCGTCTGCAGGAGTCCCGCTCTCCCGGAGGAGCTGAACCCCTCCCTGCCCGCGGGAAGCAGGGACTGAATTCCTGGGTTTGCTTTGCTTGCGTGCGCGGCTTGTTCTTTCCCTATTAAACTGTTTATTTCAACCCACAAGTTTTCTAGTTTTTACCCTTCCATTCTGTCCCTAGTCCCGATGGGGTTGGAGGGGTGGGAGTGGTGAGCAAGCGGCTGCGAGGTGCTTTGGGCTGGCTGGGGTTAAGCTTCGGCAGCCACACAGGGCTCAGGTTTGGCTGCCGTGCCGTGACACTGCCG